AATGCAAGGTCATAAGACTAGCCGATATATCTATTTGAGGTCTTCCTAGTAGGAATCATTAGTTATTATAGATTATATTAAAATGTGCATGGAATATTTCCTTCTGCAACATACCAATAATTTTTAAGAGTTAAAGTTGTAGGTCAGAGAATGTTGTAAATTGTCGAAAGATTTATATCTATAACTCACAGCTGGAATCTCGTAAACGGTGCCTGCCTATATTTATGCGTTTCTCATACACACATATCCTGCTTTTAAAGGAGCTTCTTCCTGGCCACCTGTGAACATCACGCTCGGCAGAATATGCTCACATAAGTAGTATGATTTTTTCTAATTGATTTTTTGAGCCACCGCCAATTCAAATGCATCTTATGGAAAACATGCACAGCAATGCCCTTCTTACGCGCCTGATGACAAATCAGGTCTTTTTCAAACTTTCTGATTTAGGGAAGACTATCTTCCATTTTTAAACAATTTGTGGTTATGAGATCTTTAAGGCTATGATATGCCATTTCAAATATCACCCTATCAGCCCCTTCTTCAATGTTATGTATGAGGTACGTCTGTGATTCCTTCGTGCTTTCTTTCTAATGGCGCATATAAACTTGGGATTTTCCTTACAAGAAAAGCATCTCGCAAGCCCAACTGCAGGTCGGGTTCAAAATTATTCGCGAATTGGAAAACTCTATTTCTAAAACCGAAAGATACCCTTCCATCAGCCATAAAATTTGACGAAGGCGTAATTTGCTACCAAATGAGCATAAGAAAATATATTTTGAACACGTTTTTTGCAAAATATTTTCGAATTTGCAATTTCTTTGAAAACCAGTGAGAGAAATTTCATACTTGTTGAGGAGCTGGTTTCCTGGTGTGACTGAAATACCTCGAGATTATGCGGCGTGGTAATCAACGTTAAAACCTCCGCAAAAAATTCTTCCTAATCGAAAATATATTTCAGAATTTAGGTTAGCATTTTCCGATAGAGATCCAGCGTGCGGTGTAACAGGGCCTTTGGATTAATTTGCAAGTCTCTTCAAAACACCTATGAATCGTTTTGTATTTTTTTTAGCAAGTCAAATCTCTTGTGACGTACACCTGTTTCGAGGGGAAATGTCGCGCTAATGATTCTGAAACTACCTATGAAATTAAGGAAGGTCAGTCACATATTGAACAATGCTGTGCAATGACTGAACTGAAACGCAAATAATGCTCGCACATATTGCAATTTCAGACACAGTTAAGGGAGTCTGGAACTTTTACTTCGACAGCGACCCGCAAAAAACCGGCAATTGGGTGTCGGTGCATGGGGAGAGAGAGCAGGACGTTGTGGTCGCAATTCGATGGACCTATTGGTGGCATTCAGTTGCAGGTAAGCTCAAACATCCACAGTATTACAAACCGCTCAGTTTGGCGGTTACATGTGAAAAGTGAAAAATGTCCTGTGGATTTTAGACGTGGAGAGGAGTGGTCCACTATATATATATGTACATAAATTTATGTATTTTTGAGTTGCGAAAATTCCCATGGCAGTATGCAGAAGACTAGTTACCAAGTCTAGGTTTGTTCCCGACAAATGCTTGTCAGAACAGTGCAGTTATATGGGAGCGGGGTAGAAGCAAAAAAACACGTCAATAATAAGAGAAATCGATTAAAGTTCGGGGTGTGGGAATATGGGGGCTGATAGCAATCGGTGCCTGTGGCGGGATGAGGGCGGACAGGTGTGGAGAGTTGCAGCGTTAGTCGACCTTTGACTACAGCAAGCTTGGAGCCTGAACGCGGTTCTTCTGTTCGCGCACGAGATTGGTTTTTGTAATCTGATGGCAGCCGCTTCTGCTGCTGTTCCAAGCAGACGCTGACCCAGTAGCTTAGGGTAGCTCGAGGGACCTTATAAATCACCTGAAATGCTTCAGCGGGGTCCACACGACGCCCTGAATCAAAAATATGTGCGAGAATGGTTGCTGTTTCTGCTCCAAATTTTGCCTTTTTCCGGCCATGTCGGAAGGTGTTCTCGTATTCTTTTTGATATGCGCTGATTCGTGCGACAAGTGAAGGAGTAGATGCTCATTGAAGTGGTCTAAGAGGGCAATTTATCCTTACCTTTTCCGCGTAAAATTGGGATAGCAGAGAGTAATATCCGAGCCCTCTAATCGCTGGCATTCCTGACTTGACCCCGTCCCCATATGAATGTACTGGACGGACAAGATCTTATGTATCTTACTTTGTGGAAATCAGATATAATGCGTATCCTTTAGTAAAAGTTGCTACAGTTGCCCGGATACCAGTGTCTGGTATGTCTTGGTCGACTTTAGTCTGGAAGTGCGGCTTTCTATGCAGGCGATAATGGGCTTTCCGGTCCTTAAGGCTTCCATGGACTGCGCACAGGCAATATATGCGTATCACTTTTTCTTACACTATGAAATGTGCAAATAATGAATACTCGTCTGGCTAGAAAGTCCTCATATACATCAAAAGAAAGTCTAGTAAGGCCTAGGAGATGATTGCCAAGTAGGAATCAGACAGTGTGACCAGTTTTAGGAATCAGGAAAGGCCCTGCTATTCCTAGGCGATCGAAGCGCGCTCCCTGTTACACAGCAGGCCGCTCACGGCTTCTGTTAATTTCAGTTTCAATCATTTTGATTCATATAATACATCTGCGGAAGACTTCAATCACCTTCTGGACATGCGCAGATTCCATCATGTCTCAGGTTGTGCGAACTTGTGCTGTTGAACATTTAGACTGGCAGAGTGTACATCTAACATCGAATATAGTGGCGGTATGCATCACAGATGCCAGTGTATTGGACGATAGTTCACCATTTGTACACTTAAATTCATGCTACTGTTACTACCTAAGTAATGTAGTCCGCCCAATGAAAGCTGATGTTTACATACATCAAGTGTCCTCCTGAACGAAGTCACAAAACTCCCCATTTCTTACGGGCAGCATCCTCTTCCTGAAACGGTGTGAGCAAAGCAGGTGTGCGCATTGGACTTTTAAACGTGGGTAACTGAAAAAAGCATAAGTTCTTGTCTATAAGCTATAAAAAGTGAGATGATTAGGCATCTTTTTCGAGAAATATATCTGCATATCTCCATTGGTACTGAGATAGAAGTCAGTGTCCTACTGCATATGAACAATCGAGTAATTACGGTTCATTTTAAGAGATTGCGTAAACACCCTTCAAGGTGTTATCCTGTATGAAAGCTAATATAAACATTTAAGATAGTATTTTGCAAGGTACGGATGCCGTGCCAAAACATTCTCACTTGTTCTGTTTTTTTCGAGCACCTTTTATTCAGAAATCAAACAGATCTCTTTTTTTGCTTTTAGAATATTCGTTTCGGCCTAGCAATATCGAGTCATATGCCCACTTCCCATTTGAACGGTCCGAGGAAGTGTTGACTAAATGTTCCCTTCGCATTCCGAAGCGGTCTCCCAATCCAAAGGTAGGTGGGGCTGTTAGAAAATCGAATTTTCCAGAGAGAGAGAGAGAGAGAGAGAGAGAGAGAGAGAGTGAGAGAGAGAGAGAAATTCCGGTTGAAAGCCGTCTCTATCTCATTAGAAAAGTCCTTGAGAATGAAACTCATAAGATGGCTGCCTCAAGTCGAAAGGAAGCAGTGACAGAAATGTCGGAGCCATCAGCATTCTAACGGACCTACCAGCGTCGCCGACGTTCTAACACTCCTAATCCTGCTTCTATTCTCAAAGGCTGGAACCATTAGACAGTGGCGCTAGTTTTGATCGTCGTATTCAGATCCCCGCTTTGCCCACCCCCCCCCCCTTAATGCACCCCTATAGTTGGTCCCGCGAGAGTTGATCCGGACTAACTCAGGTTCCAAATCATGGCACAACACGCGTTATTTGAGTTGCGAACCCACAGCAAATGCCACACGGGGGGATTTATCGACGCGTCTAGACGTAGGTCCACACTTCGCCAGCCACTTGCACCGAATTTACGTATCAGATGGCTGACCGGCTCGGACAGTAGACTGGTACCTGCGACTGTCTCTGGTGATGGGCTCGAGTGAAAACCCGAAACGTCGCGCCAATAAACTTCATGTTCCAGTGAACGCATCTTCTACTTCTTCTGAGGAAAAAGAGGATTAGAAGGACACTGCAAACTATTTCATGCGAAATTCATCACCCTGCGCACATTCAGCTGCGGGGCAGACTGTGGACCTCGTCGTTTCCGACAACGGGAATCATTCATAATTGCCGTGCCCTTTTTCCTCTGTTCAGTGTCGGCCAAATG